CCATAAAGCTTTACAACCACTTTCAGCTTAATTTGAGATGATCAGCCCCGACTTTACTGTATTGACTGGTAACAGAGTTCACAAAGAAAGAACTACTTTTCACCAGGTGGCCAGAATTATGATAGTAACAAGTTTGCAATTTAGTAGTCCAAATGTTGTTACCTTAATCACAGGTTTATGCACTCTTGTGTTCAAGGTATTTGTAGATATTTTCTATTCTCTCTGTGAATGTATTTAATTGGTTTCTACAATTGGGTCTCTCTTTATTGCCTTGTTTCAGGTGGTTTGGATGAAGCTTTATATAATGTGATTGCCATGGCAAGGGAGCAGGAGATCCCTTTTGTTTTTGCCTTGGGCAGAAAAGCTCTTGGACGCTGCGTGAACAAACTAGTGCCCGTTAGTGTGGTTGGCATTTTCAACTATTCTGGAGCTGAGGTAAGGCGCTCCTTCACACAACCTCTTTGCTTGTTATACTCCCATTAGAATTTTGTCTATTTATCTTGGCAGCATGTTTTATATGTCTCTACCGCTTTTTTTGCCTTTTACTAACTTGGTTAAATCCCTCCTTCAGGGTCTTTTCAACCGTTTGGTGTCTCTGACAGAAGAGGCTAGAAAGGCCTACAAGGACATGGTGTCAGCTCTGGAGCAGGAGCAGGCTGAGGAAGCTATGAAAAACGACAAGAAAGTCCCGCACCACATGGGACACACCCGCAACCACTCTGCTGCTTCTGCTATCTCCTTCTGCTCCATCTTCTCTGAACCTATCTCAGAGGTCAATGAAAAAGAGTATGGTAAGAAAGCACATTTCAGGCTCTCTGCTTTTTCTGCAAGTCCTAATTGTGTAGGGTTTTCTGTTGTCTGTGGGGAAAGCAGTACTCAGTATTCTGTAGTACCACTTATTTCTTATAGTATTACGTCAATTTTCATGTAGAAGCTTAGGGAGGGAGAGGTATATTTACATTGTTTAGGTACTCTGATTGATTAATCCACAGGGTTGTGATATGATTAATGGGGGAGAAACTCTTCCTTAACCTTTTTTTTGTTTGATAATTTTCTGTTGTGCAAAAATTGCAATTATATCTTGGAACTTATTGCGAGTAGAATTAGGAAGTTTCCTATTGGAGGCTTATCCTATAGGAAGTTTTATCAACATTGCACAGAAATACAGACCTTAAACTACTAAGGTACTTTCTTTCACATTTTTTAATGTGCAAAACAAATATGTTGTTTCTTTCAGAGACAAATTGGAGGAGTATGGTGGAGTCTTCAGATGCCCTGGAGCCTGTAGAGGCTGAGCCAAGCCGCCCTGTACCCTCCACAGCTGCCCAGAAAGACACTGAGGCTGCAACAGCCACCACTAATACTGCCCCGCCCGGATCAGCTGTTCCGCAGCCCAGGACGGGGCCTCCTGCACAGGGCACCGGTGACAGAGATGAGATCCGGGTCGATGACAGGCTGGAGCTGGCCTCTCAGCAAAGCACCGAGACGGGCTCCCTTGACGGGAGCTGCAGGGGCCCGCTGAACTCCTCCATCACCTCCACCACCTCAACCCTTGTCCCCGGAATGCTGGAGGAGGCAGAGGAGGAGGACGAGGAAGAGGAGGACTACACTCCTGAACCTATTTCCGTAGAGGTGCCAACCCTTAGCAGCCGCATCGAATCATGGGTGTCAAAGACCCTGGAGAACCTGCAGCTGGGAAAGAGTCAGGAAAGTACAGAAGAGGAGGAGGAGGAGGAGGAAGAGGAGGAAGACGATGAGGAGGAGAGAGTGCAGAGTGAGGATGAGGAGGACATTGATTCAGTGGACATTACAGAGACGATGGTGGAGGGTAAAGAGCAGGTGGAAGCTAAGAAGATTGCAGGTTGATATCCTCTCTCTTCCTCTGTTCTGACATGTACTCATTCCCTGTCGCTCTCACACATCAATCCTTAAAGCAGCCAGCAGCTTTTCTCCTTCGTCTCTAACCTGACACCACATAATCTCAGGTATCAAACCAACTGACCAACAAAAACACGCAGACCATTAATTCATTACAGAGAAGTTTACCACCTTACACAGGATGACACACAACGACAACTAGCACAGTTTTAGAAGAAGAAATGAACATCTCTTATGAATTACGCTCATCTTGTCATTGAAAAGATTGCCCTCACTCTTCGGCCCATAACCTGCTACACTTGAATTCAGAGGAAAGTTTTTGATTTTCCTCCTCCGAAGCTGAACTCTCTCAGAGTCAGGAACGTTTTTGGAGCAAGTGGGGAGCCCTTGAAAATGAGGATGAAGGTTGGAACCTTTCAGCTCCCATCTTACTTTATACAGAGCCTTGAAGGTTTACAGCTCTGCAAGTATTTGTGTGCTCATGTCTGCTTGACAGGCACATCCTTTGCATTTGTTTTGCTGTGTTCATTAGCTTTATCTGTGTAAATAATGTGTGTTCTTATTTTCCACCTGACTGCTCCAAGAGGAAAGGAGAGACATGCATTTCTTAATTATTGGGTGGTCTATATTTAGTTACAGTGTCAGGTGTTCTTCTGTGTTTCTAACAAAACCACTCCCACCTGTCGGTCTTCAGAGTTTGTTTTAAATGTTCAAATAATAAGTGGCCCATTCTGTATATTCAGATGATTCAAACGACTTAACTTCTAAGAAGCAAAAACAAGCTGTGTGTATATAACCTAGTCTATGTGTGCTTCTACTACAGTATATAATGGTTTGTCATATTGATCTTGCCCAGTGTGACTATTTGGGGTTCTTTTCTTCTGACATCATTTTGAGTTCGCGGGTAGTGTTTGTGCTTCATAAAAAAAAAGATCTCCTGCTTTGTTTTCTGGTATTTGTTCCATGATAGTGGACTCTCCAGCTGTCTTGTCTGGTAATATCCTAACACCATTTTTTGTCAAATTTATCTTTGATAAGCTTGTCTGTGTGGCGTACAGAATTATGAAAATCTAAAAAGTGTAACAGGGTTCTTAGTTGTTTTTACCAGTGTTGACTCTTCCTTCAAAATAATAAACCCGAAGATGACAAGCAGGTGTTTACTAGCCAGTTATCATGAGGTTTGACGATACTCAAGTTTACAAAAAGTGAAACATGTTTGTTTAAACTTGAAGTCAGTCCTAGTTGAGCTCCTCTACATTTTATAAATAGGCTTTGTGGGCACTGAGCTACAGCTGCTTGTCTGAACTCCGTTCACCACAGCTGAGAGACTCCGTCATTGGAGCAGAGTCACCACTGAAGTCAAACAAGTCGTCACAAAGTCATGCACACACTTGTGAGAAACCTTTGTAAATACAAGTGTACAAAGAGATTTTGATTTTGCATTGTATTTAAAATAAAATTAAATCATCCTGTTCTTAAAGCCATTTGATAGTTTTAACATTCAAACAGTTGGAATCCAATTTTGATAATGGTATTTGATAGTGAACCCTTGTGAGATTTCAGCCAGTAGATGGTGATGCAGTTAGTAAATGCAGTAAGTCGGGCTGTATGCAATGTGAAGCCCTCATATGGGAGACGACGGCGTACTTGATATCATACTTGGGATTCTGAATGTGTTTCTAGTTTGATAAAAGGTACTCTGTGTAGGCTTTTTGTTGCTATGACTTCCATCAGTGTTTGAAGTATGTTAATTGACAGAGAGTGTGTTTTTTGCACTATGTAAATATGTAATGGTAAAGGTCTTGTAACTAATGTGAACAAAACAAAAAACAAAAAAACGGTTCAATGAAGTACTTTTTTCAGCGTGTTCCTCGTCTTTCTATGGATATTTAAGACCGTCTCCTCCAGACTGTACATCACTAGCAACATTGTCAGAGGCTGTTTCTCATAATCCTGTTGTCACTCTTAACCTATATGAACTGATGATTAACATCATTAAAATGTTGTTTATGTAAATGACTTGAGTGATGCCTCTTTTTGTTTCTTCTGCAGGAACAAGGAAAATGATTCTGATGCTTTTTGATGATGTATTTGTCTTTTTAATACATTTTCTAGACAAAATGACAAGCTGTAATTTGAGGATTTGATACACTTCTTTGTTGCGTATTAGAGTGATGAATATTTTTGTGGCTTGGACTGTTAGTCTGGAAAAAAAAAGTAGTTTGGGATAGGTCTGCTTGGCTCTGAAAATGTAACAGGCATTTTTTGTACTATTATGATTTCTTTGTAAAAGAAGAAAATATATTTTGACATGCGTAACCAAGTGAAATTTTCCACAGATTTATCCATACTTAAAAAATTGCTTTGTGCAGGCCAAGAATGCAGTTTTAACTGAATGGCCACTAGGGGGCTCTGTCGTACACGATTGAGTGTTTACATACTTGGACATGTCTTTTCCTTTCTCACATCCAGCCTTAGTTCACAAAGAAATTAAGAAAGCTATTTTCAATTAAGATCCATTGCTTTCTAGAAAAATATTTCTTAACTAACACTCATAACTCACACTCTTATAAACAATGTAATTCATGTGCTACTTAAGGGAGTACTACCACACTTGGCTTGCTTTTTGCTGTTGTTAGATATTTATCTTTTGAAATGGAATAAGAACAACATGCAAAACAGTCTTTGGTTTGCGTTTTGTTCTGATTGGGATCAAACAGAAATGCAAATGTTCTCGTCAATCTTTTTCCTGTGTGTTCCTGCAGTTCATGTGAGTATACATACACTATGGGATCTAATTTATTGTGTAGATTTGAAACCTTCCTTTTATAAGTTAAACAGAAAACTAGGAGACACAGCTAATTATGTATTAATAATACTCTTTACCAGCATCTCTTAAGTGTAACTGATGTTAGAGGAGAGGAGCAGAGCACTCATGTACTGTATTGGCTCACTGTGTGAGTGTGTGTGTATACAGCATGAGTCACCCTACTCGCCTGTGATTGGATGGTAGTTTATGGGTGAGGGAGGGGGGCAGAGCCACAGGGGCCGTCTGTCAATCTCTCTGGTTCATTCACATATTCATCTGCATGCAGCGTCATAGAGACACTGAGAAAGTGTGGGAGAGCCTCTCATTCATAAAAAAAAAAAAAAAGAGTTCATTCATAAAAGCTCCATTTTTTTGTTGTGCCTGAGAAAGAAAACGGTAGGATAGTTAATGTGGAAGTGAAACAGCGTTGGAAACCTGGAAACTGCCAGAGTGTCTGGATGAGTGAGATGGGACCGCACTCAGAGTGACTGGAGCGTAGCAGACCGGACTTTAGACTTCCCAGGACATCACCAGTCCCATACCGGTGAGTTTTAATTTACTGTAATGTGCAGCAGGAATATTATCTCATAATGTCAGAATACATTAGCAAGGCACTAAAGCTGGTTTCATGAAGATAAGCTTGGCAATTTGTTCTGATCTACTTTATCAAATTGAATGTTTGTGTGTAATCAGTGTTGTGCAAGTCTAATTCCTGGAAGATGTTCCTTTTTTTAAACCCTTTCCTAGCGCTCACTTCTGTCTAGTTTCCTGATTATGAGAGAGGAAACCTTACCCAGTCTCAAATCACAAACCAGACTCTTACCAGGTAGCTTATCCTCCTTTCTAGTCATTGCAGGCATAATCAGTATAATGAATATCTAAGTGCTGCATGTCTGACTCCATCACCTCTTTCAGGCATGCTGAAGCGCACCAAATACAGCCGTCTGCGCAATGATTCCCTCTCAACGCTGGAGGATAGACCTCAAAGAATGCTGCCTCTGAAGGGGGACCTCTGCTTGGATTCTGATTTTGCTCAGATGAATGCAGGGATGCCCACAAACCAGGGGCAGTCCACCCTGAGGGACTTCATCCCCCGTGTAGCCAACATCCGATTGCATAGTCCCATTTCCCTGTGTGGCCTGAGGGGACAGACACACACAGCCGGGGACAGAAACATTGACGGACACTCGGAGAGACCCTTGCCCAGGACAGAGTCTTGCTCCGGGCCTGATCAGAGATTTTGTAGCCAACGGCCCCGAAGTGTGCCACTGTCTGCCAGCCAAACCCTAAACCAGTCGGCGCTGAGCTTTACAAAAAGACCCGTTACCCTGCATCGCATGACCAGCCTCCCCTGGACCCCCAGCTGTCCTCACAGAGACGGGCTGTGCTGTTCCAAGACTTTCTCTGCAGTAGATGACTGTACAGTTGTGCAGCCTGCAAACAGAAGGATTCACCATCACATCAAGGTATTTTTAGAAACACAATAGAGTAAATTAAAAGCCTCTGCTTTTCACAAACAGAAATCCGAAAGGTTGTGTATCCAAAGTGCAAAAATAGGAGTGTGTATTTGGTTCATGGCCTCGCTTGTCTTTGTAATTTTAACTTTGACAATTTGCCTTAAAAAAGTGTTAGTGTGTTATGACCAAAATACACATTTTTTTATGAAAGTAAAGCTGCTACGATATAAATACCTAAGAGTTGGGCTAACCTTATATCTAGTGTCCCAGCAGAATGGTTAGGTACATTGCTTTATTCCTACCAGTGCCAACACAAACACATTTGAACATAGAACACACACCGGACAAACACACACACTCCCTGTGCTCTATCCACACCATCACACTCACTTTTGCACATTCACTCCCTCCCTCTCAGTTAGAGCTTCCTGTGTAGGCAGTAGTGACTCATCCTGGCTCTCCTAGCTCCTGTCTAGATCTGCTCTGCTTTTCCTTGTGTGTATGTGTATGTGAATGTGAATGTGAGTGTGTGTGCGTGTGTGCGTGTGCATGTGTGCGGGTATGCGCGTGTGCGTGCGTGCGTGTGTGTGTGTGCGTGTGAGTGTGTGAGTGTGTGACTGCATGTGTGTCAATGTATCCGGTATAGGCAGAGCCCATGATGTCCCTGAACCGGAGGTGTGTTCGCATGGGTGATTAGGAGCGAGGCCTGTGATCTGACATATGATGGAAATGAAAACGGACTGTCTGATTGTCCTCTTTGAACACACACACACACACACACACACACACACACACACACACACACACACACACACACACACACACACACACACACATCACACTCACCCCACCCACACATACAAACACATATATATTGATTAAAGTCTGGTCAATGGACTTACTCATCCTGCCTCCAGCCTATAGACTCTACTCTGACAGCCAATAGGAGTGGGACTGTCCGAAGTGTATCCGAGCACATGGCCTAAATGAGTCGCGGTGCATTCACTGCTTCTCATCCTCTTTAAATCTGTATCATTAATAAATGTCAAAACTTGTTTAAAGTGCAGAGGCTTCACGTGAGATAACTCTGTGGACATGAAACGTCAGAGTTTTGGTCCATCTATACAACAACCCAGATGCACTGCTCTTAGTGTTTTGCTAAAAGTTTTGTTCTTATTATTAAACAGTGGTTAGTTTAAACCAAGTATTCTGATTGGACGAGAGAGACATTCCATGAGTGCTGATAAAGAGTAAAACATCACTGGGACTTTCCACAATATGTATCACCCTCGGCCTCAGCCAGGTGTTCAGAATACTTTCAGTTATCATTACAGCAGGTAGTGTTTGTCTTTATCAATTCATCTGCGGCCTCTTGTCTTTGACTGAATCTCAACAGTGCTGATTTATGTAAAGATGATCAAAACTTTGTTTATAATTCATTCTCAAAGTCACATGGAGAAAATAAATAATTGTGATCTTTTTCAGCACGTTAATTTAATTTAAAGCAACCTGAGGTATCTCAACATTTCTTGGCTTGCCATGACTGTGATTTTCTAAGGTGGATAAATGCATTTAAATTGATCATTTGACTCTTTCTAGTTGTAGTATTTGATATTGGTGTCCGTGAGGAACTGGTGTTCTTTTGTGTGCTTTGCAGTATATGGGTAGTGTGGAGGTGACCCAGTCGATGAGAACACTCGACTTTGATACCAGAAGGCAAGTCACACGGTAAGAGGTTTTCCCCCTGTGACAACCACAGACACACACACACACACAAGAAATAAACATCAAACAGCTGACAAAGTCTGAGAATAAAACTCCATATGAGTAAGCTGATGCTACAAGGTATATTTTTCTGGTTGAGACACGTGTAGCTCATTTAAAAAAAAAAAATGTTTCAAAGAGGGAAATCAAATTAATTGTATAATGTTTCATAAACCGGGGCTTTGTCCTCATCATTTGATATAGACAGCCTTGTGCAGGATGCCATAAAGCTTATGAACACAGCAACCTCTGTTCACAAGACCGCTACTGAAGGATGGGGCAGAAAATCCAATTAGATGAATTTCCTCCTAATGAGCTCTCATAGTCTTATAAAGAGACGGGGGGAAGAAGAAAAGCAACTCCCAGAAATAAGTCTTGTTTCCTAGAGAGAGGGATGTAGCGGTTGCGTGTGTGTGGGTTTTTGTAAGCTTTGACCTCTGACCCGAGTGTCAGCTCTCTGAAGAGAAGTTATGTTAGGGAGTCTGAAGAGTTACAGCCCTAGGACATACGTTATTTGTAGTTGACCATACATCAGTTAGAATTTTTTAAACTATATATATATATATATATACTATACTATATATTTTTGGGGCTATTTAAGTTTTTTCTTAGTTATAAATCTCTCTTTCTTGTATTAAAAACTTTCCAACACAAGCAAAGGCAGACCAAATGTTACATGTTTTTTTTTAAATAAGTCTCATCGTCAAAGTCGCAGCACATAAGACTTAAAAACTGTGAAGGAAGTGGAGTAAAAAAAATACAATAATTTCCTCTGAAATACATCAAAAACACCAAAGTAAAGCACAAATACATTAAAATGGTACTTTATTACTGTGCTTGTGTAAATGTTCTTCCCTGTCACGTAGTGTCATATTCCTTCATGTTGGTCAAATGTGAACAGGGGGACGACAGATCATAGACGTACACAGCTATTTGGTTTGTGTGTGTGAATCTGTTTTCCATCTGTATATATGTATGTGCATTTGCAGAGAGGCAATCAGCAGACTGTGTGAGAGGACATCAGCCAAGACAGCGTTTAAAAGCAAAAGGGTAAGATACACACACACAAATGGAAATGTAATCAAGCCAAGCATTCGTATACTAACTGAGGTTTGTGTCCTCTTCAGTCCGTCTGTAAGGGACTGACTGCTGTTCTGGGTCAAATCAACCTTCAGTTTTCAGGCAGCAGGATCGTCCTGGCTGTCTCTACTGATAGTGTGACTATGATCGCCGCCTCCTCTTTACATGTAACAGCTTCAACTTTGTTTAACAAAATCCTGTCTGTTTTCACGTTTGAATCGTTGAGGAATGGATATGAAAAACATTCTCTCCCTCTAATGTTTTGTTTCTTCTCTTCTTACACAGAAGATTGCCCATCACCCCATGCAGGCCGTCTCATTCGCCTCAGGAGGAGACCCGGTACGTTCACATGTACAAACATGCTCACAGAAAGGGACACAAACAGGATATCATTTGTACACACAAACACACACACACACACACACTCTCTCTCTCAATGTAATTCAATTTAGTTTGATTACCGCTTGGTTTGATGCCATTTGTGGAGGATTGAATTATTTCTCTTGATAACTCTTGAGCCTGCTTTACTTTTCACCACTGTCGTAAGGTGAATCATTTGCCTTATGTGAAAGTTAAACTTTTTATTCCAAGCTTTTATCCCTTCTCAGAAACTTGAAACTATTGTTAATATTCAAAAACCTCCCTGAAGGTGTATTAAGAGTGGATTTCTTTTAAAGAGGTGCAGTACAAAAGCAGAAGTGAGTACACACCATTTAAGGCATGTATTGAAGTTATCACAGGTCATGATATATTATGTGAGTTATCTAAAACAAGTCTATATTGTCTGTATTGTTGTAGTGGGCTAAGCTAGTCTGCCCTTTGCTGTGTTTCTTCTCCACTCTCTCTTCCCTCATTTCTCATCTCTCCTATCTAATAAGGGCAAACATTGAGAAATATACAGATTTAAAAATGAAAGAAGGTGGTCAGTTTCTCATGTTTATAGCAACTTAAACCAGAGTTTTAGGATATGACACAAATAAATTACTTTTTATACTAAGTGATATATTGTTTGCCTTTACCGGAGAGGACAGCTGAGGAGAGATAGGAAATGTTGGCAGGAGAGAAAGTGGGATGAAACATACGGGATGACATGCAGCAAAGAGCTGAGGCCGGATTCGAACCCAGGGCCAAAATTTTCATCTCTGATTTGCTTTTAGGTCTTTTTCTTAGAATTATGCATTCCAATAAGCAGAAAATTGATAAATCCTTTCCTGTGATATTATTGGCCATGAAAGCTTTCATCATCTTCACAGCTTGCCCCATCAGGTAAAACTCATTAGTTTAATGTACCCACCCCCCCATCCCTCTATTCACACATTATTTCCATATGACAGAATCTGTGTTATTCATGCTGAGTGAAATTTCCTGTTTCCTGAAAGTCATTATAAATAAAATCCCTTATCATTGGGAGACCCCCCCCCCAAAAAAAAAAAAAAATCAATATTAATTAATCATTAATGTCTGAACAGCCAGCAGGAAAACATTTATGTTTTCAGCTTCTGTCAAGGTCAAATCCTGATTAATAAACTGCTTGACAAACAAAAGACAAGGTTATTTAGTCAGTGAACTCTGAGCAAACCAACAGGTATACACTGATATATCACCGCCATTTTCTTCCTGTGAGGAGGAAGCACCGGCTAAAAATGAGAGAGACAGACAGCAGACAGCTAGCTTCTTTGAACACACGGGCGAAAACAACGGATGGGATTATAGCCCACTGTTTAATTAATTAGCTAAAATAATCTTGTGCGCTCTAAGCCTCAAAGCCTCAGTTTGCTCGGACTCGTGGAAGATAGTGAGGGGATTTAAAATCAATCTGCCACAGAGGCTTTCGAGTGAAATGCAGAGAAATACGGTTATTGAGTGAATTCATTCGACAGAGAAGACAACATTGATGATCGTTAAGTGAAACATTTCTGCTGTGTTTCTAATGTAAAAAAAAGTGACACAAAAATAATGAAACAATCACCCGATTACAGACCTTAAACCCCCAAAATATACAGAGTACTATTTTAACCTCACAACATGTTGTCTAATGTTTTCCAACTTTAAATGGATACCAACAGTAAACGTTTTTTTTAAATTATAATGACCAACATCACTGAGTTCTCTGACTTTATGATTCTTATAAATAAGAGCTTTGTACTTGTTCACCCTCACCCAGTCCCTGTACATTTTACGTTGTTACTTACTTTCATAACTCCTGATTTAAAATCAATAAAGAGAAAGGAACACTTCCAAGCATCAGGAAAGGTTTAGTTTGAGATGCTCTTTGGATTTTCATACTGTACATGTAATAAATAATAAGAAAAGCTCCAAGTGAGTCTCTTTTACACAGCAGTCCGCATTGTCATCTCATGGTAATGTTTCTTTTTAAAACAGACTGCTATGAGTGTGAGCATCTCGCCTGCTTCAGGGAGTCAAAGAGTGCGCTCTTGAACATTAACCCTCCTGGTTATACAGCCATATCATCCTGTAGTTTAAAATCTGGAAATGGCAGTAAAAATGGTCGCCTTGAAGAAATAAAAAATGCACATGGTGGCTCAGCGTAACATACTGTATCTTTGCTACGCAGAGGGCTGTAGGTCAAAAAGGCCAAAACATGTTTGCTATTACGACTGGATGTTGCAGGACATCCTGGTATTTTGGGCATTTATGAGAAATGTGCAGTGAAACATATTTTTCTATTAATATTCATCATCTAGAAATTGCAAATTATGGCCACAGTGGCCGCTGGGCCACTAAAGTTTAAAGTCTTGCTTGAATCATACTTTTTTTTTTCCATCTCTCTGCAGGACATGGCAGATTATATCGCTTATGTTGCAAAGGACCTCTGCAATCACAGAGGTAAGGAACAAACTCCTGTGTGTTTCAGCAACTTGTGTGTCTAGTAACTCATGTTGTCTAATCTAAGCTTCACCTGAACTGAATATGGAAAAGTTTACTTTACCGTTGCTATGTGCTGGGCTTCCTTTATCCAAAGTCATGATGTGATAATAACCTCTCTTCTCCCCTCCTCTCTCTCTCTCTCTCTGTCAGCATGTCACATCCTGGAGTGTCCCAGAGGTCGGGCCAATGAGGTTATCAGCAGCATCGGCCAGGCCTTTGAGGCTCGATTCCGCCAACTTCTGAGCCAACCCCCATCGCTCCTCTCAAACAATACCAGGTTGTCTTTTTGTTGACCGTAGCAGAATTATTGTCGTGATAACATTATTTGTTAGGCGTTCTATTTGAATGTACTGTATGTTTCACCCATTTAATCAATGGTGCAATTCTGCTACAGTATGTCTCACTTTATATTGGCCAACAATTATTTTCACTGTCTTGGTTTTCTTTCATGTAAATGTAGCCATTTAAATTGTTGAACTAGGAAGTCTACAAGTAGATAGATAGATGGGTCTATCATAACATAGAAATGGATAGAAAGCTTTTGTGTTTTGTCCTTTTTTTTATACACAACCAAGTAACATCATTATGTTTCATCTATTCTATAGAAAAAATGGTGAATTAATTAATTAATTTAGACAATATGAGAAAGATAAAGAAATTAATGAAAATAATTTGTTATTGCAGCTGTATATGCCTAGCTTGAGTCTCTATCTGTGTTTGTGTACTTGTACATACAGTATGTATATAGTTTACTCCATGTCTTTATCTGACTTATATTGACATGCAGGAGAAGTGAGGTGGACATTGTGTCCTTTTGTGCGTGCAGGTCAGCAGGGAGACTCTGTCACATATGGAGCCCAGAGGAGACAATAACCGAGCAAAAGGCAAAGCAGCAGGAAGGTGAAGTCAGCGAGCATCGTGACTACTACAACATGACCCCAGGACAGACGCCAGCACCTGTTGGAGAAGACAACCTGTGGATCACAGGGGAGGAGATCAAACAGACAGCTGATGTACCAGCGGTAGGGGTTCATTGTGAAAAGAAGAACTTGTCCGTCTTCAGTCAGTATGAGTCCGTGCCATTTGGCCAATGTCTTCATTTTTGTTTCCTTGAATGTGTGCATATAAAGAATATTCAGTGTATTGTGTTATAGCACACTGTTTCTATACTCCACAGTATTGGAGATGTTAATTGGGACATTGGTTTCACATACCATAAGAGTGGCTGTGTTATTTATTGTCATGCTGCAACAATTGCTGATTTATTGATTAGTGGATAGAAAGAACATTTATTGAAAACTATTTTTTATTAATCGTTATTTTTTCAGTCCTTATTGTCAATGAAAAGCTGCCAGATTGGTCCAGCATCTTGACGCAGACATGCACAACATACACTACATAAACTTTGTAAAGGCTTCCTTTATTATGGACAGGTGAGCACAAATGTTAACATCATTTGACTTGAAGCTGCCCTTCGCAAAACGAGTCCATCTGAAACAGTTGAGCTATAGATGTCTGTCTGAAGGGCACCTCAGTGTTTGTAATGAAGAAGGCTCCAGCTCTTCTCCTACGCTTCCAAGAATTACTGTGCTGGTCTGGGAATTAAGTAGCCGACCTTCCTGTCATGAGTACATTTTAGACCTTTAGGCCACCACTATCCCTTAACAAACACACACACACACACACACACACACACACACACACACAGATCTCTGCTTTGTGTGTATGACTCATCTTGTGCTATTGCAGGTTTGTTCGTCTCAGTCTGTTTCAATGTATGAGAACTGCTCCATCACAGAGGAGACTCCGGCTCCATCTACAGGTAAAAAATATTCACTACAGTTCGGCCTTTCACTCGCATACTACGAGACTCTGTGCCTGGGTTGTAGTGACTTAAACTTCAGAACATTCATGGGACTTTACTGTGCACTTATTTAAACCTTTATTCTTAAGAAAACCTCAGCCACAAAGGTAAAGGCCCGCAATCAAACACAAGATTTAAGATGTGATATAAGCCATAATAATCATAGTTTAAATATCATTGCTGTTTGAGCAACTCACCCTTGTAAAGTCCCTTCCCTCTCTCCTTTAGACTCACTTGAATCTTGGACAAACGCTGAGCCATGTTCCCCTCTACCTGAGACATCCATCCAGAACCTGATCCAGGAGGAAGGTTGGTTCCATGGCAGGTTAGTTATTCCTTTACCTAAACCATCAAAAAATATCAACAGGTCCTCCAATATGTCCTTTTGCTCATGTATGAAGCCTTCTTCCCTTGAGTAACTGTGTCTCCTCCACCCCCTCCCCCCAGGTTAGGCAGAGAGGTGGCAGAGTCACTTCTCACCTGTAGTGGTGACTTTCTGGTCAGAGAGAGCAGCTCTGCCTCTGGTCAGTACGTCCTCAGTGGGATGGAGGGAGCAACAGTGCGACACCTGCTACTGGTCGATCCACATGGACAGGTGGTGTTGGATCTCAGACACACATGTGACACACACGAAGAGGGGAATTTGCAAAAAGGCATTGAGATTTGAATCTTTTTTCTGTTTTTGGTTAACCAGGTGCGAACTCGTGATCAGGTGTTTCTGAGTGTTGGTCACTTGGTGCGTTTCCACATGGAGAACCAGACGCCCATCATCTCTGGGAGCAGCGAGTTGTGTCTGAGGCAGCCGGTGCTACAAAGACACTAACACACACTCACAAATGTTCACAGGCTGTCACATGCATACATCAGCCTTCTGCAGCAGTAGTTATTCCAGTTATTCTTTTGTAGCTGAGACAACAATGTTCTGAAGAAATGAAACTATTTGGCTTTTTTTTTTTTATCTACTTGAAGAATCATCCTCGCCCTGCCAACACGTCAGACATCACTGTCCAGAATAAATGATTGTCTGGTTATTAAAACACATACATTTTGGAAGTTCAGTCATTTGTCCTCCTGCCGTAACACACTCCTAAAGACTTGTGCAAACTGTTCATCGCCTCGTGTTGTGAACAGCTGCTGGCCTGCTGAACATCCTGTCTCACTGCCTCAGGCTGAACTTGTTGGTGTTTACTCAAAGATTAAGCACAATCACTGGTGTCAAGAGGAAATTAACCAGAATGTTGGCAGAATTACGACAGAATAATCTTTTTCACATGCTTAATTTCTCTTGTGTTCCTTTGTTTTTGATTTGTTATTGTTTTGTGGCCCCATTTCCTTTGCTTGAACATTTTTGGACATTTCTTTTCATCCCTTGGTTTGTTACGTTCTGAATTTGGATTTCAGTCACTGTGTGTGAGCAGTATCTCCAGAAAGAGATTCACAGTTTAGCCTCAGATTAACTTCTTTATGACGTTTTTGTTCTCCCTTTAAAATGTAATCAAACACATCTTGTGTTTCTTCACAAAATGGATTCTGGGCTGCACTTGTCACTTCTTTCTTTTTGAACCTCAAACCACAAAAACTGAACTTGTTTTTCTTCTTCCACCTTGAAGACACATTTAAACACATGTTCAAGTTACATCATAACACAAGGTTTTATTTAATGGGAGGAAGTGACCTACATATTTAATTACTTTTACTTAAATTGAAATTATTTTATGTGATTGTGAGAAAAGTTCCATCAAGCTCTTTATTGTTCTGTCTTTTTTTCTTCCAGGTTACACTTCAAATGGCCTCGCTAAAGTTCACCTTCAAAGTCAAATCTGATTGGCTGATTACCCCTGTTTTACAAGGTCATCATAAATAAGCATCAAAACATATTTTAACATTTTCTGTCCTGTAAATAATTATGAAACAAATCAAGAAATATTCATTTGAATGTCCTTCTACTCATTCCTTTTTCAGCCACAAGATGGCACTATCAGTCTATACAGGAGCTCATTTCCCTTCAGCTTGTATCAAACTATATTTTCTGCAATTATAAGATGCTATATCTAGATTTTTATTAACATTTATAATTTTTGATCATTGCATTTCTTGATAAATTCATCAATAACATGTTTACGATGAAACATGCCGCTAACATGTTTGCTGAAACTACTGATTTGAACTGCCTTGCTGTAAATTGTTTTTTCAGTCCTTCCAGATTTCCTGAAACAAATTTGTATCCCACAGAGCAGCGAAAACGATCCGTAATAAACTGCCTACATTCATTTTGTCCAACACTTCTCTGTCAGCAGCCTGTCGCTTGTAGATTCTGGAGAAGTAAAAGATGACTGTGCGCTGAAACTATGCAGTCAACTGATCTTGGGGCCGTGGCTCCTCATCGTCCTCTGAGAGGCTCAGAGGGTCTCGCCCACATTAATCACCCTCAGCTCAGCTTGTTAGGCTGGGATTGGGGATCTACTGGCAGCTCATTGGGAAAAAGCAGCCCTGCTAGGGACTGATACACAAAAAGATAAACATTGATAGAGTATCTAAAGAAAAACAACTCTTATAGTCTTACTGCTGAGATAATTCTGTCAAATGTAATCACAGATCTGACAAGCTGTCTAACTTCCCACAATCCCTTGCTGTTGGGGTGTCAAAAAGAGGACTTATCTGGATTGTTGTAAAGAACAGGAAATTGACCTATCTCTGCTCTTTCCTGCACATTTTATACACCAGTTAGACATGATGATGATATCTGCGTCTTGTCTGTTCTGTCAGTTACCAGACTTAAACTCGTTTTATATTAACAATGAGACGAAATGATCATCATCTGGTAATAAAGAGGCTATCAAAGCGTGAATTCAAGTAATATTTCCAACACGTTGAGTTATTTCCCTGCTTCGTTTATGTCCCTCTGGGTTTCCTCTGAGTCACACAGACCTCGCCCAAAAACAGCTCATTAGGAACAGCAATGACCGAGTGTGTGATGCCATTCTTTGAGGCTTGTGAGGCCTGCAGATGGTCCCATGTTGTCAAACCTGTGAGGTCACTGTTATAACACTGACCCCGAAAATAATGTTGAAGCAGCAGCTGGAAACCTGGGTGGTGTTACTGCATGAGCAGATTCAGGGCGAACATTTACTGTCATTTTCTGAGCGGTTCTTCTTGAAAAAAGATCACTATTTCCTCGTGAGAGTTTTTTCACAAAGCAGATGGTTTTGGTGTTACACTTTTTAACAACACAACAATCTGGGTTATTGGGTCACCAACGTCACACAAACAGCTAATATTTGTCTATAGACAGAATGTGAGCAGTGATGCATTCTTGATCTATAGTTTTATATAATATGGCACCCTTATTTAATAATATACATTGAGATTAGTGACAAAACTTACCATCAATGTTCTAATTCACACATTCCTTAAACATTCAGGCTATCATTACAGTATTTCTATTTCACAACGGGCCTCAGTTCACTGCATTATGCAGGTCTTTTTTAAGACCCTTTGAATGTGCCTATCTGTAATGTATTATCTAAAAAAAAAAAGGGATAAGTTAACACTAACTTTTTATGACATGTTATGGTCTTCTTTCTGTCAACTGGAAGGTTTGGGATTTGAACCTCAGCTCCTGCAGTGACACTGAACACCAAATTGCTCCTGCTGCTCCACCATGCGAGTGATTTCAATATTACTGTTCGATGTTTGGGCACTTTATTTTATAGCCTCTGCCATCAGCGTGTGAATGTGGCAGGAAGTGTAAACACCCTTTGAGTTTTCAGACGACTAGTTAAGGTCGATACAATTTTAAGTCAGTTTACCATTAACACATATTTATTACTGAGGCTAACTATTTTGTGATTAAATATTAACAGAGTGCTACCAGATTAACTATGTTAAGCTAAAAACTTCTACACACAAAACTCTTACAGTTGATTGGTAGACAAAAAGAAATAATCAGCAACTACTGTCTGTGTCAGTCCTCTATTAAAGCAACCTCAATATTTATCAATGTTAAGCTTGTGGTCACAGAAATCAAGTAACCTAAATAACTTGGTTAAAATTAAAATGGTGACAAACATTTTTCTCTACATTTTGACATTTTGGAGACATAACATGGAAAGATGAAACTATAGAATTGAGAAAGTCACCAAATGATAAATCAAAGCTAATAAGTATTCTGTTACTTCTGTAATCAGAAGGACATAATCTAGAAGCTTCAATTTAATGTGTCATTTTATCATAGTAAGTAAAAAAGGCAACACACCAGCACCAGTAACAACTTATGCAGAAATGATTACACCTGGCTTCAGCGGGTTAAAGCATTCTGGACACGATTTGGTAGGTGGGTTGATTTTTTTTGAGAACCAAGAAATGAAAAGTCTGCAGCTGAAACTACAGTAGACACATTGTATTAATCCATTCAAACCACGTGCTGTGTGTGGATTTGTTAGCGCATGTGTGTGCATTCCTTAAACCCAGCCAGTGACATGTCATGACTCTGACACAGGAAATGATAAACATTCAGTATAATCTTCAAGTCCTGTGGATTTGGTTCAGATCCAGAGTATTAAAACGCCTGAACTCTTTGAATTCCTTTAAAGAATAAACTTATGTGCTGATGAGCCTGAGGGCATTAGCTTTAAACACACACACATATGACGAAGCATTCCCAGACCCTAAAGCGCCGCAATGGAACAATTAAAGTCATAAAAAGCGCCCAAAGTTCGAGAGCATGAAATCGTTCCTCATTTCAATGTTATCAGAGTCACACAGAGTTCATATCTGGGAGGAAACAAAACAAGACTTGGCCACTGACTGGGCCGTGTTGCAGCAGTTTCTGGCATGCCAAAATCTACACGCATGTTCCCCCAGAGACAGCGCAGGGGAGTAGACACGCACGTGAGTCATGTGAGGGTTCGCAAACAAATGCACACAAACAAAGAGACAGGCCTGGTTCTGTTTCCTGTTTCCACAAGTCAGGAACCAGCAAGAGCAGGCTGTGGAGAGCAGAAAGTCTCTGTTAAACCAGTGTACAGTAAGCTGCTGTTGGCCGGAGTTGGTTGGTGCTGTATAGATGAGTGTGCGTTTGTTGTTTTTGTTTGTGTGTATCCCAAACAGTCATCACTTAATTTTCCATCAGTTCTCTTTTTGATTTTTAACTTCATTGTTCCTCTAATGCCTTGACCCCCGAGTTTAGCATGACGGCTTGTCTCAGGACCTCTGATGGGTGTGTGGACAATTGGCTTCTGGCAGGCCCCCTGAGTGGAAGCACACACACACACTCTATCGTGCAAGCCACACTGTGTCCTCGAGCACATAATGCCCTGGAGTTTCTTTACCTCTTCCGAATCTTCATCTTTCCACTCTCTCTTTATTGTTGCCCATTCAGAAACTAGGTCAGTGTCAGGTTGTGCCATTAGCTTCTGCTACTTGTGTGTGTGTGTGTGTGTGTGAGAGAGAGAGAGAGAGAGAGAGAGAGAGAGCGTGTTCATGACTGGTAAGAAGCCATGCTTATCTGCCACTTGGCCGAAACACTTACTTGAACATGTGTTTGTTTTCATGTCCTTTGTTGGTGGAATGAAATTGAGTGTGTGTGCGTGTGTATGTGTGTGTGTGTGTGTGTGTAAGTGTGTGACGCAGCAATGATGAGGGGGTGGGGGATTCTTGCACCAGGCAGCAGACAGATGTGGGAGACTTAAATCAAAACTTTTCTGTTGGCCCATTCCAGAAACGCGACTTTCCCTCCACTGTTGGTCTCCACTGACTCTCCATTCCTCTGCTGTTTCCTCACGTTTTGGCTAGCAGCTCACACTTCTCTGTTGGATATTAAGCAGAGGCTGAGATCAAACTTGGACTGTTGCACACACCAGGAGGGATGATACAGTGAAGCTTTGTCATGCTTGACTTTGGGTTTTTGGTCCTTTAGCAGCTCAAAATGATAAACTTGATATTTTTTATCCCCTTGACCTCTCAAAAATGTAGTGACATTGTCTTATAAACAGGATTTTTAACTGAAAACATGTTTATGAAGCTGCTAAAGTGACACATCACTTCAGTTAAGAGCCACAAATATTCCAGCTGTAAAATGCCATTCTTTCATTCTCTCTGTAGGTCATCTGTTAATTGTGTTGAGCTTACTTTCAACACGGAGCCTCCCAAATGTGTGTTGGGATTACTGGAATCTTATTTTTCACAAGAGACAATTTGGACCGAAAACATTAATCTGTTTTTTCATATGAAGGCCTATTTTTTGGCAAACAACTGTATAAAACTACATTCATGCATAGCCCATACCTGCACCAGCAGCAGGTCAAAGTTTTCACTGAAATACCAAAACATCTATTAAATGGATTGGCATCAAAAATTGCTTCGGGATATATCGACCATATTCTTACACCAGCCTCTTTTTTTAGCCCGATGATATCGCCATCAGCGTTAGAAGCTCACATGCAGCTGTCATGTTGTTTCTAAGTGCTATCGTTTGATACTTTACGTACATAGAGAATCTCACTTGTTTACAGTCTCGCTAAAACAACTGAAACGTTTGCTAATGAACTTTTAGCTCGTGAGGAACTGATTTAGCCAATTTTCTAACAACAACAACAACAGTTAGCTTGAAAGGAAAAAAGTAACAGGTTAAAAAACAGCGAGAAGCTAATTAGAAATGATTCACAAGCTAAAGTAGCAGTTAGCGAAAAAGAAACGGATGTATTAGCTAAGAAATGGTTAGCTAGGAAGTAACTGAATTCTTAGCTTAAACGTTATTAGGTATTTACGATTCCCAGCCTTAGCCTGAAGTTTGATTAAAAATGAGGGATATGGTCTATTATGATTCCTTTATTCTTCTTTAATAGTAAACTGAATATAGGTCAAACTACTGTAGCGTACTTTTTAGGGTTTCATTTTGGTCTTGGTAAACAATGAATTAATGCTTTTACCATTTTGTATGTATGGATTAAACAGTTAATGCATGAATCAAGTAACAAGAAACAGTTATACATTGCAGCACTTTTTGGCAGTATTATCAGTAATCCCTCATCTAATCTATTTCTTTTTTTTCCTTTATGAAAAAAAAAGTCTAGTGTGTACATAAATGTATTTCTTAATGAGTGATTTCATGGAGTGTGTCTATGGATCTGTGTCTGCTGAGTGTCTTTTACGGATGGTGGTGGCAAACCCCTGGTGGGAAAACTCAACAGGGATCCTTTTCCATCCCTAAAATGGTCAGATATGTGTGTGTGTGTGTGTGTGTGTGTGTGTGTGTGTGTGTGTGTGTGTGTGTGTGTGTGTGTGTGTGTGGAGGAGGAGGGGGGCACTGACTTTGCATATATCACATCAAGTAGAGAGGAGATAAGTGGCCAGCAAGACCAGCATGGATGAAAAGCTCAAACCAAAAATACTATCTTCTGTGCCCTACAGGGGACCTTGAATAAATCTGTGTTTAGATAAAGGGTGTGGTTTAAAAAAAACAAGAACATCTTGTAATGTATTACATTTATTACAAACGTCAGGTCATTTTTAAGTTGAAGCCCAATAAGTGTGAAAATATAATATACCAGAACAAAGTACTATTTATGAAAGAGTAGTAGTATTTCAACGAGACGTGACCTCGTCAGAGTGCTTCATCTGAGCCATATAGATGACATTTGGATGAAAACATAGATAACTTTGTACTTGTCCATTTCAGCCAAGTGATGGTTGTCGCTTAGCTTAGGAGAAACAGCTCCGCGGATTAAAACAGCAGCGTAAACATGGGTTATTGTAGCCGATAGCAGTGGAAACGACTAGCCACACTGCTATAAAAGTTTATAAAATCTATAGTCTGTCTGTTCTCAGGTGCGCACCGTTGCAGAAACATGAATAATGGATCAAAACTCCGTGGCAAACTGAAAATAACTTAACTGCATTTTATTTTGAGCGAACAACGCACTTCGCCTGTAGCTTCCTCAGGTTCGCCTTTATATATTAATATATATCGTGTTGTGCTTTGTCACAGTCTGGATCTCTGTTTCTGCTCAATAGACAAATTCCAACTTCTCAAGCCTCCCGTGCCATCCTTCTTCTCTCCAAGCCATTAAACTTTCCCTCCTTTCTCTGTCTACATCACTGTTCCCTTTTATAATCAGCAAATCAGTGTCTTGAACCCTCATTGCCCAACCTAATCACCTGTCTTCAATTCATAATCAGTCTCATCCAATTATTAGAGCCTCTTTTTTTTCTTTGTGGTTTTGCCAGTTCAACCTTGTTACTGAACCTTGTCGCTGTGCTTTGATGTGGTCTTGTGTAAATTTTACTTTTGGAGTTATTGCACTGGAATTCTGGACCGGCCGACCAACCGATCTGCCTGTTTCTTGTTACCAGTTGGCCTGCAGGCTTATCTACATGAAACTACCAGTAAGTCATCCATGCACAATAAATTGCTCAACTTTTCCAATAACCACGTCACAAATTGCAAGAACTGTTGTGATCATTGAGATTTCTTCTTTTTAAGGATTTCATTTGGCCTTTGTTGTATAGCGGACAGTGGAGAGGCTGACATGAAAGTGCATAGAGAAATATAATAATATGATTAATGTTTTCTACAGAGAATGGCAGAAATTAAACAGCTATGGCACCACTATACTTTTACTATACATGTAAAACAAGTTCTCCAAGTAGGAGCACACTGTTTTTTACAAAGAAAATTGAAGAATGTAATCACTATTTCTTTGAGGATGTAAACAGGAAAATAAGGTGATGAACAAATGTCAAATCTTGTGAAGAACTCCCCTTGTGTCCAAATAAATCCATTATAAAGCTTACCAGTGAACAAGTATATGAAGGTCAATCGTCCCATGTAATTCACACGCAAGAACACAAATAATAATATTATCCAAAGTGTCAACCTGTTCCTTTAAAGTCAGATGTGTTTGTACATTTTGTGCAAATGTGACATCCAAACTTTATGCGTTTACACTACTTTGTGTTTATCACACGCAAGAGTGTTTATTGTTCCCATGGTGACACTTGCTTAATAAGGATGACTTTGGGGATCTAGGGTGCAAGAGGCCTTTTCCACACTTCTCTCTTCGCATTAATGGGGTTTTTTCTCATGCAATGTCCTGTTTTCTTAATCAGGAGTGACACCAGAGCCCAAGGAGTAAGACCAAAACACATCCAGGGTGAGTACACCAGCGATTAAACCCTCAGAGATTACTCATACTGTCAACCCGGAGTTCTTACTCTTTCCCCCTACAAGCAGATCCTTAAAAGAAGCATCCCCACTATAAAAGGACCAATTACAACTTTTTATGACCCAAAACATTCTCCTCAGTTGTTTGAGGGGAAAGTTTGAAGTGAAATGAGCTGAAACAGCACTGAGTTCAGACAAGGAAAATGATCCAATTGGAGGCAGAGAGGGATTCCTCTATGTTAGTCTGTGGTTATGTTTGATTTTGTGTTGTTGCGGTCAACTGTCTGTACATGTAGTGTGTTTCAGCAGGAGACCATATGTGATACTAAAAGGCCAAGCCCAAACAGTTGATAGAATTCATCATTATAATAATTAAATTATCCTCAAAGATGAGAATAAAAAGTAACCCCTTTGACATACAAAAAAACACACACAAATGTAAAGAGTGTGTGTGTGAGAGAGGGTGGTGAGAGAGAGAAGAGGAGTCTCATTTCTGCTACAGCTCATTTTCTTGAAATATTTCACATGAATATTGGCAGCAGTTGTGCTGCAGAAGACAAAAGGAAATGAACCGTGGCTGCTGGAGCCAAAGACAACACAACACACAGTGTGAGAAAGTCTCGCTACAGTTTCTGCTCGCAGCACAGAGAGAGACAACCTCGATCTAAGCTATTAAAAACTGCCCCGGGATATACAGTATGAAACACATGGGCAAGAACATGAGTGTATGAGAGAATATTTGCGATGTAGCCGAAGATAGATCAGCTTCCGTCATTGTGAACTTTAAGAAAAGAAAAAAATGACATCACAGGAAGATATGTGATGATTAAAAGACAGCAAGTTTGTTGTCTGAGGGATATATTTTATCGGAATTTCCTTTAAAAAATGTTGATCTAAACTATGTTTCAGACTCTTAGTTCAGTCATCTCAGGCCACAGGAGTAAACATCGCCTTAAATGAAGCCCATGTTTGGTTACAATCAACAAAGAGATTAACTGAGAAAAGGATTGGGTGGGACACAAAGGTGGATGTTGGGAAGAAGGAGTACAGTTGGATTGGAGGTGGCATCTTTCTGTTAATGCACCTCCTTTGTAACAAGGAAGAGCAGGGGAAACCCTGCAACACTGCTGACGGGAACCATGACTTCAAGATTCCCAAGAAACAATCAGCTCAGCTCTGACGTTACTGCTTTCACTCAATGTGGTGTATGCTTTTCTGCATGTCTGTATGTGTGAGTGTTGTGTTTGAGCACAAATACGGCCATATGCTTGTATTTAGCTGTGGTATCTCTGCATTGCTATCCATAATGTTTACTTCTTGTAAGTTTGTAATGCATCAAATTATTTCCTTATGACTGCTAATTCATGTGAGGCACTCCTCCAGTTCTACAGATGTTCAACAGCAGTGGCGTGCTCAGGCTTTCTGAGGTGCAGTGGTATGAAAGTAAAACAGGCCACTAGCTCCATGCATTGGGGCACTAGTAAGCAGAATTTTTAAAATCCATTTATAGAATATATATTTATATTTATTGAGACAGTATCAAGTCCTGGTTAGGATCAAAAGACGGATGCACCTTGCTAGCTTAGACTTTACAGTGCATGCTGTTTAAGTGACTTTTGCTGCATAACATGACCCCACTCTCATTCCCTTTATCCTCTCCAAAAAAGGCAAAACAAAACAAAAATAAAGAGTAAATCACTTTGTTGCATGACTGACATGTAAGTTATAACTGCTTAACCTCTGACTCATAGGGGCCTATAAACTGTATGACTACTTTTATAAATTAGCACCCAACTAATTTCCTTGAACATTTCTCAGATAGACCCCCAAAAGATGTTAAGTGATACTGAGGTGTCAGCGAGCTCTTTGTTATACCTTCATAGGGCTGTTTTCAGGTTGAGCTTTTAGAAAACTATACTATTTGCATTAAAAACGTTTCTTTTTATATCCAACTGCAAAAAAAAAAACTACAGAGAGAAGCGGGAGATGAGAAGAAAGAGAGATCGCATTCGAAGAAATATCTCCTGGAACCTGGCGCAGCTGTTGCTCAGTTGGTAGAGTCGTTGTCTCTCAACCGGTAAGTCGAGGGTACGATCCCCAGCTCCTGCAGCAACGTGTCCGATGTGTCCTTGGGCAAGACACTTAACCCCGAAAAGCTCCCAATGCTTCGTCGGCGGCGTATGGATGCGTATGGATGGGATTGCTTCTGATGGTCACTTTACAAAACAACCGCTGCCATCAGTTGAAAGAATTGGCATGAAGGTGTGACCTGCGGTGTAAAAGCACTTTGAGTAATCAGAAGACTAGAAAAAACAATGTAGCTTCTTTTCAATAGATTCTTTGCCACGTCGGGGATGCTTTCAGACAATATGTAGGTTTCTGGGGCTAACGGCTTATCATAATATGGTCTTAGAAACAGGTGCTTACATTTTTAGAGACACACTGAACGGTAGGGAGATCACACATGAGAAATATCACCTGTAACCCGGTTTTCATTAGTAACATAGCGTACCCACTTCCTTTATAATTTATGGCAGATTTTAATGGAGACTCGAATAAAGAGCTTTACAAGTGATTTATGATCAAATAGGCTTAACTGCCCAGATAAATAATGCAGAATATAAGCACAGTGTGTGACAATGAGGGGATTCTCTCCACAGAAAAAAAACCTGTACACAACTGTTCCTGTGAGTCAGGGACAGAGAAAAAGTCACTAAAGCTTTATTATTGGGGGTTGTAACTTGAAAAGGTGGACAACAGTGATCTAGCAGACATTAAGCTGCAGCCAAGTGCCAACCAAAGATGCCTAACCCTTAACTAAGGATAACTTTAAGTGTACTGTAATTCATAGTGGTGACTTGAATAAAAATTCACCCCCAGTACAGTTGTAATAAAAGACAGAATTACCTCTACAGACAGCACCTTTTTTTGTTTTTTACCAAGCCGTAAACATCTTTGTTTGTGCTGTAAAGTTGGTAATTTCATTATGCGGCCTCTATTGTGATTGACTTACCTTTGGCACCAGCCTCAAGTGGACAATAGAGGAACTGCAGTTTTTAGCCTTTCCATTTTGGCTTCATTTCTTAGCCGGGAGGTTTGTTTGATTCAGCTTTATTGTCTTTCGTGTTGTATATTTCCATCCTTCCCTTAGCTAGAAAAAGTTTCCTATTTAAGAGGAGGTGAAAGTTATTTTACTCTCTGCAGCTGGTAGATGGGAAGGCTGTAACAGAAGCCTGTGGATGCCGAAGTCAAGAATTTCTTGGTTTCAAAGCCAGTGAGCTGTCTCTGACTCCCACCAACACACCACAAACCACTTTGCACTCTGGCTCTTCTCTGCTCCTCACACCCAGGTCACGCTTATGTTTCAGAGGATGAACTCAGCTACGCTTAGAGAGAGAGAGAGAGAGTCGAGACTCTAAGACATCCAGGGAGAGGCTTCTGACTGTCAAAACAATCCTCTCCAATCATCAGCGGCCACTTCTGCCCTCTGCTTCTCTCGCAAACATCCCTCATTCCTTGACTGAAGACCTCTCATCCTCTCCTCTGGACCTTTGTTTCATCTGCCAACATCCCGCGCTACTCTCACATACCATTTCCAGTAATTCATGTTCTTATCTTACAAAGAGCCCAACAGTACATTCATTTACATTCTTATATTACCTCAGATACTTATCTGCAATTCTATTATTTCATTACTATTATTATAAAGCACAGGAGTCCAAGAGCACCAAATAATATGTCAGGGCAAGACAATAATAATGTAGGAGAGTAAAAGATGGGGGATGGATTATTCCTCAGGGTAGCAGAGACGACATAATAAAGAGTAAAGTAGAGAAGGTGATTTGACAGTAATTACTATTATTACTTACTCAAACTATGTTAACAAATAAAAAAAGTCGACTGTGCGATTAAGTTTCTTTGCATAAAAGGTATAAAGGTCACAGACAAAAGTTGGAAGTGAATGGAAATTTGCCCTTCTCCTTTGCAATTTATATTCTTGTATTCTTGTGAGTAGGTTTTGAACAGAATTAAATGAATACCGATGCCTCTTTTTGACCTTAACAAAAATTGCCATCAGTTAGAGGGTTGATTATTTGTATTAAAGCTGTATATGTTTAATGCCTGATACCGCTGCTGACGGGTCTATGTCAAAGGATGGGATTTATAGTGCACCGCCCCAATGTGCCTTAATTTACAGCGTCCATGAAAAAATGTTCACTGTGAGAGAGACGTTTAAAAGTTAGAAGACAGCAGGAGTTTGTTTTTTCATTACAGAATACCACTTATGCATGTACAGGATAAGATAAGCCAAGAGATGTATCGCTTCGTCCTCAGGGGTCGACACAAAATGAAACATCTCTACTGTCACTTGGAAGTAAGTGCTTCTCCAACTATAGTGTTTGTGATTTTCTGCAACACTTGCAATAAGGCAATATGGTGAATGAAAACAAGTTGGAAGACATGAACTTTATTCAGGGACAACTTTTGTATTAATTAGCACAAACAGGCATAGCTTATTGTTCAAGTACTGTGTCACCAGCATAAACAGGTCTGGAATATTTACATTCACAAATGACGTCAAAGAAAATAGCATGATGGAAAATAAAAGTCTATTTCCCCCCCATCGTGTCAGAATGTTGAGTTGGGACTGGCTGAAGCAAACACCAGGACTGCCAACAAGGAAGAAGTTTGGACCTTGAGATGGAGGTAGAGCCTTCTAAGAAAGCATCAGCGTTTTGATTTACACCCAAAGGTCATGGGCAGGCAGAAAAGGGAGTTTATGAAGGGAGTGAAAGGGAGAAACTTATGAAACTGAAGATGGGGTGGCCTCCAATATTTTGGTGGAGTGGTGAACAGGGTGTTTTTCAGGAGGAGAGCTGTCGTAGCCAAAGCAGGACATAAGTGAAGAAGAAATTAAGAAGCGCTGTATAGACAATGATTGTGAAAACTGAACCAGACAGAGGTTATTAAGTGAGAACCTGCGGTATTGCACCACTGTTGCACTCTGGGTGCTGCCTGACAGTTTGTTGTCTTGAGGCAGACTAAGACTCTTGGCAGTGTGTTCAGGAGTAAACGTGGTCTTGTCAGCAGTGATGGAGAGGCCTTGCAGAGGGCAGGACTTTCCAGGGGGAAAAAAAGCAGCACAGTATTGTTGAGACTAAGTTTGAGGTGGTGGGCAGACATCCAAGGGGAGATGTCAGCAGGGCTAGGGGAGATGCGTGCCTCAACCTGAGTGTCAGAGGATGGAAAAGTTGTGGAAGTTGAATTAATGATATATAAATACTCTCCTGAACACCAGATGAAATGCAACAGAAGGCAAGATGGATGTTGCAGAACCCTAGGCAGGTCACCAATATTTTCTTTCTAAGAGCTAAAAAAAACTTGACATGGTCAACCTATCACTGGGAAATATTGCCTCTGATAATATTTCATGTTTATTTATTTTTATCTTGATCAAACTTAGAAATGATAATGTGCAAAATTAACACCAAATCTAGACTAAGTATACAGGGTGAGTCCCAACACGTGTGAGAGGGGAATGTGAATAGTTACGAAAATAAAAAGTGGAAAATTCTATCAGTGGAACCCGATGTTGAGGATTAAACAGTGTCAGGAGGTTTCTCTAGGATTTAGAGTGATTGCAGTCTTGACAGAGGAGCAGACGGACTCTATGTTTGCTAGGTGTGGCTGCAGGCATGAATCAGTGTGTGTGAAAACTATCACTACACTGGACAAAATTCCTCAAAACATACAGTATGCACAGGGTAAATATTGAAATCTCGTATTTTATTCCTTTGAAAGGTTTTATTTTTTTTCAGAGTACATCAGTTTTAAGTCGTTGACTGAAGAAACACTCCAGTAAAAACTGGCTACACTTGTAGTATGAAAATCATCAGGGTCATCATGAAAGCCACAAGCCCAAACGTGTTGTAGCCTACTTATTAATTAATAACCTTGATCTTCATACTACAAGTGCTGCTGGAGCTGGTTGACCTCTTCCAGCCAGAGTATTTTTTAGAATAACCTCCAAAAAAAGAAGCTGAAGAGGCCTTAAATAACTTATTACAATGGGTTATTAAAGAAATAATATAACTTGTGACTTTTTATCCATTTAGGCATACATGACTATTACCTACAGACTGGATCTGGGTGTTGTGAGCATTTATTAACAGCCTATCTGACAAAAAAACACAATTAATACAAATACTTAATTTAAGACAAGCAGATCAATGGATTATAGGTGATAAACTAAGCATGAGCAAATTAATCATTATCATATTAATATATTAACAATACTGTATTTTAAGCTGGAGGAAGAACTACATTCCACATTTTACAGCAGAGAGTGAACAGGTGCAGTCTTTAAAAGATACAAGAATAGATCATCTGATTTGTTTGTGTCAGATGTGTGGGAATGACCTGACCACATTCTGGACCCAGCAGATTTTTTTCAAGTTTAAATTTACGAGCCATCTCCCTGGGAGGGGACACGTCTAGCCTTTTTTCCTGGCACCCGAGGTAGAAGGAGAAGAAATCGGGCCACGCGATGTCTGGCAGATTCTATATCCTCAAGCTCTCTGGTGGACTTCCTGCTGGACCTGTACTTGGAGCCAGAATGCTCTACAAAGCCTCATCCAAAGCAGCCGGTGTACCAGCACAGGCCTCAGCCCAAGCCTCAGCCCAAGCCTCAGCCCAGGCCTCAGCCCATGTCACAGGTGTGGGAAAACAAGGAGGTGGACCCAAGTGCAGAATAAACTAACAAAATGTATTTATTGAAACAAAAAGGCCAAAGGCAAACACACAACTTACTAAAGGAGAAAACTAGCCACGAGGAAACCACAAGAAGCACAAGGAAAACGGACATCTACTGACACTGATAACTGACAGATATGTTTCATACATAGAAACAATGATCTGACACAGAAGGGAAGGAACACAGAGACTAAATAGACAATGGCTAATCAGACACAGGTGAGACTAACAAGACACAGGTGAGGACAATCAGGGCAATCACACTGTAGGGAAACACAGAGAGGCAGGGATGAAATACAAGAAACACTGAGGACAACT